AAAAAAAAAAAAAAAAATTCTGCAGCAAATTAAAAAACATTAAAAAAATTTTTTTTTACTTTAGTTTTGATGCTGCATGTGACGGTTTGTTACATAGGTAAACTCATGTCATTGGGGTTTGCTGTACGGAGTACTCCATCATTCCGGTATTAAGCCTGTTAAAACATGTGCTCTGAATGAAGAGAACCCCCTAAACAGGCTTTCTGTGAGCAACATGGCTGTTTATTCACCTGGGAGGGGGCAGGCTGAGTGTGAAGAGAGCCAGCCGAGAGCGGTGGGATAGGACTTGGTTTTTTTTTTTTGTTTTTTTTTGAGACGGAGTTTCGCTCTTGTTACCCAGGCTGGAGTGCAATGGCGCGATCTCGGCTCACCGCAACCTCCGCCTCCTGAGTTCAGGCAATTCTCCTGCCTCAGCCTCCTGAGTAGCTGGGACTACAGGCACGCGCCACCATGCCCAGCTAATTTTTTGTAGTTTTAGTAGAGACAGGGTTTCACCATGTTGACCAGGATGGTCTTGATCTCTTGACCTTGTGATCCACCCACCTCGGCCTCCCAAAGTGCTGGGATTACAGGCTTGAGCCACCGCGCCCGGCCAGGACTTGGTTTTATAGGTTTGGGGTAAGCAGTGGAAAGTTACAGGAGTTACAGTTTAGGGTGATTTTTGCAAGCTGAGAGGGGTCTTAGGGTCTAGAGTCCTGAGGTTGACCCAGGTCAGTTTCAAAGACCAATTGCCTTATCATTTGAGGCAGAAATAAGGAACAATAGAGAATGTCTCAAAGTTAAGTAGGCTCTGCAGGGGTTGATTATTTTTCTCCCTTTTGTGGTTTTCCAGTTACTTCAGACTTTCTAGTTCTGGGAGGCCATCCAGAGGTGTACATGCAGGTCACGGGGGTCACCATGGTTCGACTTAGGGTATGGCTTATGATGCAGCCAGTTAGCCTAAAAGACCTTACAAAGCTTAGTACCCAATAGTTATTTTTTATCTATTTATTTTTTTGAGACTGAGTTTTGCTATTCTTGCCCAGGCTGGAGTATAATGGCATGATCTTGGCTCACTGCAACCTGCGCCTCCCGGGTTCAAGCGATTCTCCTGCCTCAGCCTCCCAAGTAGCTGGGATTACAGGTGGCTGCCACTGCGCCTGGCCAATTTTTGTATTTTTAGTAGAGATGGGATTTCACCATGTTGGCCAGGCTGGTCTCAATCTCCTGACCTCGTGATGCACCCACCTTGACATCTCAAAGTGCTGAGATTACAGGTGTGAACCACCATCCTGCCTCACAATAGTTATTTTTTCTGCTCCTCTCCTTCCTCCCACCCTCCACTCTCAAGTAAACCCCGGTGCCTCTTGATTTCTTCTTTGTGTTCCAGTAAATATCTTACTTTGAAATTTGATCCTGCTAGTTGTGAAACTTCACATGTTCTCATGTTAGTAGACATGGCTAGCTCGCTCTTTGACATCTGCATTGGAGATCTGCTGGGTGACAACATGTGGGTCCTCTGCAATTTTCCTCTGTGTTAATAGTGCCACAGTGGCTGCCTCTGTGTGCGCCTGCATGACTACAGATATCTGAAGATTCCTCCAGGTCTGGCAGTGGAAAGAGTGATTTCTTCTTCTAGGAGGGAGCATTTCCTGTTTTCTTAGATCTGACAAGATCCCCCCATCCCCAGCTGCCAAAGTATCCTTTTCCACCAAGATGAGATTCCTCTTCAGTTAAACAAAACTTGCTATTTTTTATATTTTTAAAACCGTTATGTATGTATGTATAAACACACATATATGCATACACATGCATATATACATACACGTATATATTTTGAAAATCTTTTATGTTTGGAAACCTCGAGAAAATGACAACCCTTTGTATTAACATTTAGTTTCTAGTGAGTCTGTGTAGGTTTTAACATTTTGTGGACATACATACACAAAACAGATGTTCATACTTTGAGTAATTTTGTTTTCATGTATTTTATTTTATTTTGAGACGAGGTTTTGCTCTGTTGCCGAGGCTGGAGTGCAGTGGTGCAATCTTAGCCCACTGCAACCTCCACCCTCAGGATCAAGTCATCCTCCAACCTCAGCCTCCCAAGTAGCTGGGACCACAGGTGTGTGCCACCATGCCTGGCTAATTCTATTTTTATTTTTATTTTGAGATGAAGACTTTGTTGTCCAGGCTGAATTGCAGCAGTGCAGTCTTGGGTGACTGCAACCTCCATCTCCCGGTTTCAAGCAGTTGTCATGCCTCGGCCTCCTGAGTAGCTGGGATTACATGCATGTGTCACTGCACTTGGCCGAATTTTAGTTTCTGATCTTTCGCTGTAAACGCTGTCATCTCTGACGGCATCACTCATACTCCGTCTCATCTAAATACTGAATATCGCCTTTCCTTTCGGCCGGAACCGCCATCTTCCAGTAATTCGCCAAAATGACGAACACAAAGGGAAAGAGGAGAGGCACTCGATACATGTTCTCTAGGCCTTTCAGAAAACATGGAGTTGTTCCTTTGGCCACGTGTATGCGAATCTATAAGAAAGGTGATATTGTGGACATCAAGGGAATGGGTACTGTTCAAAAAGGAATGCCCCACAAATGTTATCATGGCAAAACTGGAAGAGTCTACAATGTTACCCAGCATGCTGTTGGCATTGTTGTAAACAAACAAGTTAAGGGCAAGATTCTTGCCAAGAGAATTAATGTGCGTATTGAGCACATCAAGCACTCTAAGAGCCGAGATAGCTTCCTAAAACGTGTGAAGGAAAATGATCAGAAAAAGAAAGAAGCCAAAGAGAAAGGTACCTGGGTCCAACTGAAGCGCCAGCCCGCTCCACCCAGAGAAGCACACTTTGTGAGAACCAATGGGAAGGAGCCTGAGCTGCTGGAACCTATTCCCTATGAATTCATGGCATAATAGGTGTTTAAAAAAAATAAAAGACCTCTGGACTGTAAAAAAAAATAAATAAATAAATAAATACTGAATATCACTTGATGTGTAAAAGTTTCTAACATTTCTATAATGGGAACACTGCATTGATTTTTTGTTTGTGTATTTCTTGTATTATCCACAACCATAAGAAATGTATACCCAGAAAGTATGATGACCTCTTCAAAACACAACCGGGAAGACATAATGTGATGAAAAATCTCTTTCTCGATTTGTCAGAACATTCCCTACAATTAAATCCGTGCTTCCGCCTCTCTCCTCTTCTCATTCTCTGTAAAGATCAGAACCCCTCCCATAACCATGTGGTTAAAATGTGCTTTCATTTCAGGGTCTGTTGACATTCAGGGATGTGGCCATAGAATTCTCTCAGGAGGAGTGGAAATGCCTGGACCCTGCTCAGAAGACTTTACACAGGGACGTGATGTTGGAGAATTACAGGAACCTGGTCTCCCTGGGTGAGTCCAACTTCTCCCAGAAGCAGGGATGTGCCCTTGCGTATCTTTGTATTTTCTCTTGTTGCCTCTTGGGGGCTGCATCCTTGCTTGACTAAAATGGAAGCTGTATTGATTTTGAAATGAAAAGCTTCATGATGCAGCATCTGAAATTTAACTGTCCCCCGCCCTTTTTTTTCCTTTTTTTTGTTCAGATGGAGTCTCATTCTGTCGCCCAGGCAGAAGTGCAGTGGCATGATCTTGGCTCACCACAACATCCGCCTCCAGGGTTCAAGTGATTCTTTTTCCTCAGCCTCCCAAGTAGCTGTGACTACATGTGCCTGCCACCATGCCTGGCTAATTTTTTTATTTTTAGTAGAGACAGGGTTTCACCATATTGCTCAGGCTGGTTTTGAACTCCTGACTTTGTGATCCTCCTGCCTCAGCTTCCCAAAGTGCTAGGATTACAGGTGTGAGCCACCACACCCCACCAAACTGTCTTTTTTGTTTAGATGTTCTGTGTTCTTTATGATATCTCAGTGTACATTCCAGAACTAAAGTAGACATAAAACCCTATGGCAGGCCACGCATGGTGACTCACACATGTACACCTCAATCCCAGCACTTTGGGAGCCTGAGGGATGTGGATCACATCAGGTCAGGATCTGAGACCAGCCTGGCCAACATGGCAAATCCCCATGTCTACTAAAAATACAAAAATTAGCTGGGCATGGGCACGCCTGTAATTTCAGCTACTAGAAAACGTGAGCATGGAGAATCACTTGAACCCGAGAGGTGAAGGCTGCAATGAGCCAGGAATGTGCCACTGCACTCCTGTCCGGGTGACAGAGTGAGATTCTGCCTCTAAAAACAAAAACAAAACCTCGTGGCAGACTTTAAAGATACCAAGTTAGTTCTCACCAGGTGCAGTGTCTCATGCCTGTTATCCCAGCACTTTGACAGGCCAAGGCAGGCAGATCACCTGTGGTCTGGAATTTGAGACTGGCCTGACCAACGTGGAGAAACCCCGTCTCTGCTAAAAATACAAAATTAGCTAGGGGTGGTGGCCCATGCCTTTAATCCCACCTGCTCAGGAGGCTGAGGCAGGAGAATTGCTTGAACCCAGGAGGCGAAGGTTGCAGTGAGTCAAGATAGCATCATTGCACTTGAGACTAATAAGAGCAAAAGTCTGTCTAAAAAAATTTTAAAGACAGGTATCTAGTTCCCTGTTTGCTACTTACATGTTTTTTCGATTCTGTAGTGCTTGGAAGGAAGCTCAATTTCCACATACTGCAATCTTCTTTATGTATTCAGAAGGAGGCAGTCATTGGAGGAATTTGTGAAATATTTTCCTCGATCCATCTGGAATGTCTTCTTTCCTGCTGAAACATAGGGCTGGGACTCTAGAAAAGTTCCAGCACATCACCTTTCTTTCTTTTTATAAGCAGGAGCCTCTTTCTGACCTGTTTATTCATGTTGGAGCCAGAGAAAGAGCCCTGGACTGTGGAGAGTGAAGTGAAAATGTCCAGCTGAGTGGGAATGTATTACAGGTGTAAACACAGGTGGAGCTCGGAGAAGCACAGTAGAACCTACACCTTTAAATAGTGTGTGGGGAAACTCTGCAAGGGGGAGAATTCTGTGAGGAAGGAAAAGTTTAAATCCGGGGATCTCTGAATGGACATCTTTCTTTGCTCCCACTTATTTCTCTGCTCTTTATTGATTTAACGAGTTTTTTTTATAAAAGCACTAGTCGTATTCCTCAGTAGTCAACACCCATGACCAAATTCTCTCAAAGGCCCCATCTGCAGGAACATCCTATTGGAGAATAAGAACTCTCAACATGACTTTCGGTCAACACGAACATTCAGACCAGGGAACCTGCATTATGATTTTTATGTTTTTATTGTGCATTCGGTTTTATGCAATGCTTTCTCTGATCTCAGTTTATGAATTTTCCCAGTACACATTCTATGTTTTATATTTTGTGTACAGTGAACTAGATAACTAAGGGCAATATGTATACATAGAATTGCTATATTGCCAGGCTGTGACACACTGTAGATGTGACATCATAATTGCAAGCTCTGATGTTGTTAGGCAGTTTTTTTTTTTGAGGTTCAGTCTTGCCTTGTCACCCAAGCTGGAGTGCAGTGGTGCAATGTTGGCTCACACCAACCTCTGCCTCCTGGGTTGAAACTGTTCTCCAGTCTCAGCCTCCCGAGTAGCTGGGATTTACAGGTGCCACCTACCTTGCCCAGATATTTCTTTTTTGTAATTTTAGTAAAGACAGGGTTTCACCATGTTGGCCAGGCTGGTCTTGAACCCCTGACGTTGTGATCCGCCTGCCTCAGCCTTTCAAAGTGCTGGGATTACAGGCATGAGCCACCGAGCATGGCTGTGAGTCAATTCTTATTCCTTATAATGCTGTGTATTTTCTTGACCTCATACATCACAAGGTAGTGATCTTAACATGTATTTCAGTTCTTATATTGTGTGCTGGTGGTAAGTAGAAATTGAGGCTTTTGTCTTATTTTTGAGATGGGGTCTTGCTCTGTTGCCCAGGTAGAGTGCAGTGGCACAACCTTGCTCACTGCAACCTCCACCTCCCAGGTTCAAGCGATTCTCCTCCCTCACCCTCCCAAGTAGCGGGGATTACAGGTGCCCACCACCACACCTGGCTAAGTTTTGTATTTATAGTAGAGATGGGGTTTCACCATGTTGGCCAGGATGGTCAAGATCTCCTAACCTTGTAATCCAGCCACCTCATCATCCCAAAGTGCTGGGATTACAGGCATGAGCTACCGTGTCCAGATCCCGAGTTCTGCAGGCTGTATAAATGTATTATTTGCTTGCTGATTTTATCATAAATTACAATCTTTTACTAATTAATTTTTGAGATTATACATATGGCTTTTCAATATGTAGTAAGCAATATAACTGACACATTCCTCTCATTAATGTCACAATGTGCTGCCAGGCACAGTGGCTCACACCTGTAATTCCAGGACTTTGAAAGGCCGAGGCTGGTGGATAATTTGAGGCCAGGAATTTGAGACCAGCCTGGCCAACATAGTAAAACCCCATCTCTACTAAAAATACACAAGTTAGCTGGGCATGGTGGCACGTGCCTGTAATCCCAGCTACTCGGGAGGCTGAGGCAAGAGAATCACTTGAACCAAGGTGGCAGAGGTTGCAGTGAGCTGAGATCGCACCACTGCACTCCAGCCTGGGTGACAGAGCAAGACTCCATCTCAAAAAAATAAAAATACAGAGGCCAGACATGGTGGCTCATGCCTGTAATTCCAGCACTCAGGGAGGCTGAGGCGGGTGGATCACGAGGTCAGGAGATCGAGACCATCCTGGCTAACATAGCAAAACACCATCTGTACTAAAAATACAAAACATTAGCCAGGTGTTGTGTCACATGCCTGTAATTCCAGCTCCTCAGGAGGCTGAGGCAGGAGAATCTTTTGAATCTGGGATGCGGATGTTGCAGTGAGCCAAGATCACACCACTGCATTCAGTCTGGGTGACAGTGCGAGACACCATCTCTATAAAATAAAATACAAAAAATTTTGACAAAAATGTGACAAAGCACCTCTTTTGCATGGATATAGGTAATTTTGTGACAGTTATTCAAGCTCACTGCAACCTCTGCCTCTTGGGGTCAAGCAATTCTCTTGCCTCAGCCTCCCAAGTAGCTGAAAGTACAGGTGTGAGCCACCATACCTGACTAATTTTCGTAATGTTTTCTCATCTTGTCAGTGCTATGATTATTTGACAGTACAAAATTTACATTGATTTTGGTTATGCTTACATGATCTTGTGGATGATTTACCAATGTTGTTTATTGTGTGGTCCATTAGCATTTATTTGTATATAGTAAATATGCTTTAAATATGAAGAAATACATTTTTCTCTTTCTTGAACATGACAGTGATTTTTTTCAAGCTGTTATACACATTATAGTCATAGTGGAAATATACTCTTTAGGTTTACACATATTTGTGCCCTGTCAGTGTTTTGTCATGATATTGAAAATAGTCTTCCATAGAAATGATTTCAACTACATATAATCACCCTTTATTTATTAAAGAATCTTACTCCTGGCCAGTCACGGTGGCTCAAGCCTGTAATCCCAGCACTTTGGGAGGCCGAGGCGGGTGGATCACGAGGTCAAGAGATCGAGACCATTCCTGGTCAACATGGTGAAACCCCATCTCTACTAAAAATACAAAAAATTAGCTGGGCGTGGTGGCGCGTGCCTGTAATCCCAGCTACTCAGGAGGCTGAGGCAGGAGAATTGCCTGAACCCAGGAGGCGGAGGTTGCGGTGAGCCGAGATCGCCCCATTGCACCCAAACGGGAAAAAAAAAGCTAAACTCCGTTTCCAAAAAAAAAAAAAAAAAAAGAATCTTACTCCTGTTGTATTCCTAAACTTTGAAGATCATGTTGTGGAAGTTTACAATAAGTATTGTTTTTTTGTGTCATATTTACACATTTCAGTATTATTTACCATCTAAACCTGTTGTTGTTTATATTTTGTAGATACCTCTTCCATATGCATGATGAAGGGGTTCTCATCCACAGAGCAAGGCAATACAGAAGTATTCCACACAGGGACATTGCAAAGACATGAAAGTCATCACACTGGAGATTTTTGCTTCCAGAAAACTGAGAAAAATATTCATGACTTTGAGTTTCAGTGGCAAAAGGATGAAAGAAATAGTCGTGAAGTACTCATGACGAAAATCAAAAAGTTGACCGGTAGTAAAGACCGATATGATGACAGGCCTTCTGGAAACAAGCCTATTGAAGATCAGCTTGGATTAAGCTTTCATTCACATCTGTCTAACCTGCACATATTTCAGAATGAAGGGAATATTGATAATCAACTAGAGAAGTCTTTAAATGATGTTTCCTTAATTTCAACTTCCCCAAGAAGTTTTTGTAGGCCCAAAACCCATATTTCTAATTACTGTAGAAATAATTTGCTTCATTCATTACTGACAGAAAGAGAGGAGGTACACGTGAGAGAAAAATCTTTGCAATGTAATGAGAGTGGCAAAGCCTTTAATTGTAGCTCACTCTTAAGGGAACATCAGATAATCCATTTAGGAGAGAAACGATATGAATGTGATATATGTGGGAAGGTCTTTAATCAGAAGCGATACATCGAACGCCATCGTAGATGTCACACTGGTGAGAAACCTTACAAGTGTAATGAATGTGGCAAGAGCTTCTGTCACATGTCATATCTTGTATGCCATCGTAGACTTCATACTGGAGAGAAACCTTACAAATGTAATGAGTGTGGCAAGACATTCCATCAAAGTTCAGGCCTTCTATTTCATAAGAAAATTCACACTGGAGAGAAACCTTACAAATGTGATGAATGTGGCAAGGTTTTTAATCAAAAATCACACCTTACACGTCATCATAGACGTCATACTGGAGAGAAACCTTACAGATGTGAAGAATGTGACAAAGTTTACACTCGCAAATCATACCTTGAAGTACATAGGAGAATTCATACTGGAGAGAAACCATAGAAATGTAGCTTTTGTGACAAGGCTTTTGGGTGTGCTTCACATCTGGCATGGCATATTAGAATCCACACTGGAGAAAAACCTTACGAGTGTAATGAGTGTGGCAGAGCCTTTAGTGGACAGTCAGCACTTATTCATCATCAAGCAATCTACGGTATAGGGAAACTTTTCTAATGTAATGACTGTCGCCAAGTCTTCAGTAACGCTACAACCATTGCAAATCATTGGAAAATCCATAATGAAGACAGATCTTACAAGTGTAAGTGGTGTAGCAAATTTTTCAATCTTTCATTCCTTGTCATTCGTCAGTGAACTCATACTGGATAGAAACCGTATAAATGTAATGATTGTGGCAAGGTCTTCAGTCAGGCTTCATCTTATGCAAAACATAGGAGAATTCATAGAGGAGGAAAACCTCACCAGTGTGATAATTGTGACAAAGCCTTTGTTTCACGTTCACACTTCGTTAGACATCAGAGTATCCATACTGGACAGAAATTCTACAAATGTCATAACTGTGGCAAAGTCTTCAGTCTGGGGTTACTCTTGCAGAACATTGGAAAATTCATTCTTGAGATGAATTGTTCCAAATGCAATGTGTATAGCAACCCATCAAGCATTAATTGACATTAACGTCAGTTCAGTATCAAATTGAGTTTGAGTTGACTTAACATTGAGTTCAAGCATTAACTGACATTTTAAAGTGTTTATGTTAAGAGGATTAAGCCAGGCATGGTGGCTTTTTATGAGCATTGTGTTGAATGTAAATCACATTGGGCAATATAATTATTTAACAATATTTTTCCAATCCATCAATATGGGTTGTATCTTTATATATGTTTGTAATCAATATTTGTAGATTTCAAAGTACAATCTTCTCATCTTTTTACATTTATTCCTAAGTATATCTTACTTTAAGTCATCTAGCACATGGAAGTGTTTTCTTAATTTTCTTTTAAAATTGTTTATTGTTAATGTATGGAAATTCAGCTAAGTTTTGCTACTGATAATTGTATTCTGCAAATACACTGAATGTATTTATTAGTTATAGTGGTATTTTGGTTGACTGATTTTCTACACAGAAAACCATGTCACTACGAACATTATTTACTTCTTTC